AAATGAAATTTATGGTGGAGAATTAAGTGCTACTCCAGCTTATACACAGTCTGTTTTACTTTCTAAATTCAGGATATTTTTATAGACTAACTCCTGCTCTTTCTGAAGTTAGATGAAGAAGTTTCATATAAAAATCCACTAAAAATTGTAGCAAGAAAATAACAGGAAATGTAATTTTCTTTAGAAAATTGGGACTACTCTGGCATTTATAGATGTGCGTGTTTGTGCCATACATGCAAAAATTCCTTGCCTTATTTTAAGGCCTTTTAAGAAGATTGGTTTCACAAGTGCTGCATTGCAGTACCTTTGTCTGGAGTGGATTCTGTTGCTTTCATGGTCACTGCTAACTCACTTGTCTCTGCAAAATGTTGGTGTCACGGAGTAGTCACATTTTCTGTAAATCACAGTCAAGAGATCTTTTGTATAGCCCAGTGCTGCTAAAGGACATGCATGTGAAGAAGCCCATCTGGCCCCTAAGCATGTGAGCTGACACTGTAGATTGTGTTTATGCAGGCCATGGCTGAACTGAGCAACATAAAAAGTATTGCAGCTTTATTGTCCCTTCTAAAAGAAGTTCCTGAAGCATTTGGTCACAACTTGGGTACTCTCCACAAGTCATAAAAGTTCTATCAATTATAAGAAAATATTTTATTTTGCAGTGAGATCGTTATCACTTACTATAAGGCGTACATTCTGACTTTAACATTCATGTCCCAGCCTTGCTTTTGTGAAAAAACCAGGGAGATGCAGAACACCAGGTACAAGCTGAGTGTCACAATGCCCAAGCCATTTGGCTTTCTGGTAGAAGTGTGTGTGCTTGGACAGGGCATGTGACGTCTGACAGGACATCAGATAACAATGTGAGATAGTAAGGTTGGTCATATATCCTACAAGGCACTAAAATGATGTTAATCATTGTTAGTAAATGATTGCTATTGATGTGATGTGCCTCATTTCTGTGTATTCTTTTTCTCCTGCTTTATCAAAATATTAATAAAGATGGAAAATAGAGATGAAGGATTCTTCTGGTCAAAATGTCCTGCTATTGACATTTATTCTGATATCTTGGTTAGGCTTACAGTTGCTGTACAAATATGTGAAATAAGGCTGGAAGGGACTCTAAAGATCATCCATTTCCAACCCCCATGCCAGGAGCAGGGACTTTCCACTAGACCAGGTTGCTCTAAGCCCTGTCCAACCTCGGCTTGAACACTTCCAAGAATGCAGCAGCCACAAGTCAGCCTAGAGAATCAAAAATCAAAACCCCCAAAAGATTAGAAATCATAAAAATGTAAACAGTTCAAACTTTCAAAAATAGAGATAATTGGTAACTCTTTGCTTAATGTTCTAGATTTTGACAGCTTAAAGCACTGTTATGCTACAGTCTTGCACTGGCAGATGAATGAAATAAGTGCAATCAAATACATTCTTTCTACTTGCTTTGTGCATGATTTTATAAACTTGACACTGCAAAGAACATTTTCACAGTTATACCAAATTCTAATGTTTGACTTTCAAATTGTTGACCTTTAGCAGTGAGATACAACCAACCATTGCCTGTACCACAGATTTGTGGTACACTATCCTTCAGAAAAATGGATATATTAGGGGAGGGCATGGTGATACTACCCATAGTGAGGCCATGATGCTACATCAGTTAGAAAACATGGAGGAAAACTGTCCAATTTGTGTGGAAAGAAATCTGAAATGGTAATTTCAGGAAAAGCATTTGTAATGTGCTGATACTTGGCTGGGATGTGAATGCTGAGTGGCTTCTGATGTGGCACAGCCAAACCCCAGCAAGCAGCATGATCTACTATTCTGCAGTACCCCTGTACTGAGCACTTAGCAGCTTCCTAGTGACATTTTTTAAAGGATACCTTGCAAAAAAAAAGATTTTAATGGTCCCTGATAAAGAAATTTATGAAAAATTGCTTTAACAGCAAATGCAGGCATACAGTCAATTTGGTATCCTGTCAATAGAATTGCAGTTGGTACATGATATGTAGATGCAGTTCCAGCTGCTAAACCCAAAATCCAGTTCAGATAACAGGTATTTGAGGTGCTGTGGTAGCAGCTGCAGTGCCTGCCCTCTCCTGCTGGAACTTTCACCTCAGGATTCAGACCATCACAAGTGGCCCAAAAGGATTCTTTGGCCCCCTCTTTCACAATGTATTTTGAGCTTTGGCCTACACATACATTCCTGAAATATTTCCAGGTTCTTTTCTTCATTTGTGAAAATTAATGCTATTAAGCAATATCTCATTCTTATACTGCACTAAATCCTATGTTAAAATTCATGTGAAAAGTGGCTTGTTTCTGCTGTTCATTACTATTCATCATTTCAGTGAATGAAAGTTTCATTTTCACAGCATTTTGTATTTTTCTCCTATATGTTTACAACCACTGGATTTATATTTGTTTCCAATTGTAATTTCAATTACATGAAATGGCCACAAATCTTTTTTTCTTGTCTCTAGCCATTCTATGTTGGAACAGCCAACAAAACTGTGGCAATAGCAACAAAACAAGTGAATAATTTTGGATGTAAGGTCTGTTTGCTTTGAAAAAGATTAGTGTGTTTGTGCATCAGGATGTTGCCAGATCAGCTTCCTTTCTCCTTTCCTAGAGAGATTAATCTGAATTAGAAGGCTTACAAAACATGTCAAAAGGAAGAATTTTTTTCAGGCTACCTCTACTGCAGGTTCAGCTAAGTAATTACAGCATTCAGTTCTGGTTTAGGAAAATGTAAATGACACCCTTTCTTTTCTGTATCTTATTTAATCAGTTCTTGTGGTTGTTCACTGCACATCCGAGATAAAAAATGCCGTTGATAAATCCAGAGAACAAGATGGTGACTCACATATCCCACAACTCAGATTAGGTAAAGGTGTAGGGCACACTAAACAACAGAATTAAGTATGGTTTAATGATCAGCAACACTTCCACTATGGATTGTTCCTAAATAATCTAATTTGATGTACAATAACTCAGTGTAAGAATTACCTCACTCACAGGTATGTTAGTGAAATGCATCTCCAGGCTAAAGGGGTGAATATACAGGCCAGTGAGTGTTTGGGGGACATTTCTTCAGAGAGCTGATAATTTTGGGCTCCTGTTTAGTGTAGTGATCCTACCTGCCTATAGCTGTGCAAGTAAAGACACTCTGGGCTGCACAGTCCATGGATGCCTACATTGTCATTCACAAATATGAAGGAAACAAAAGCCTTTTTAGGAGTGTTTTTGGGAAGCTGTGTTGCCTCCCTTCTTCAGCATGGGCAAATTCATTAAAACAGATTTAATAATGGAAAGCTAGTGGATTTCTTTGTCCCTAAAACGCGTTCTTCCTGGACAAACACCCTTTTGGCTCATATGCTTTCTCAGAGCCGGAAGGGAATCTCTATGTGAGAACCTCATGACAAAGTACTGATCAGAAATAAAGCTGTAGTCTTATGACTGTATTTTAATAGCTTTCTTTTTATTTTAAGGTACTTAAACCTCATCTCCCAAGTTCTCTCAATGACAGTATCCATGTAGCATTATTTTCAGCTACTAGTAGGTGTTTTTTTAAGCCCTCTTTAGGCGATAGACGGGGCCCACATAGTGAAGTCAATGGTTAGACAGGATATAATTTAGACTTCAGCTTCTCCCCTCAGTTTGAAATAAAATGATTACATTTCAGGAAAGCCTAAGGAAAGATTAAAAGTTTTATATCAAAAGTTGAATATTTTCTTTTGTTGTACCCTCTTTTTTAAAGAAAATGGTATTAATTTAAAATAATGCATGTTCTGATGTATTTGAAAAGAGACTACTCTGAATTAAAAAGAAATTCATAAAGTATGCATGTAAGGGAGAGGAAGATTGCAGTCTTCACTGGGGCATTTAGTCAAAGGGTTTTAATGTAGCCTATTCTGTTTCATTCATAGAATGAGATATCTGCAAAGACATGTTACAAATAACAGATGGCCAATAGCATTTACAGAGCAGTGGTTAAGGTGGCAAAATCTTTTGGGGCTCCTCTCCACAGGCAGGTTATAAAGTGATATTATACCCTCTGTTCCAGACTTGGAAAATGGTCCTTGACTGTCTCTAAACCCATTAAAAGTAGTTCTAGGCAATAGCTCTATGTAATTATTGTTCTAGTAATTCCTGTGATACCTTTCATTTCTTGTACCCCAAAGCTATACAAGGGTAGAGACCACTTGTAGCATACAAAGTTGTGAAGCTGACATGGGACTTAAAAATATGTGGAATATGCCAGACATGAACAGAGTAAAAAGTGAGGAGTATGACATGAACAGGATAAAGTTATTGTCTGATAAGGTCAGCTAGTTTTAACTGTTGATATCGGTGGGGCTGTTTTACCAAGGATGCTCTGGGCACATTTTTTAGAACATTACCTACTAAAAGGAATTCCCGGAAATCTCCTAAAAGCAAATGTGTCTCTTGTAGGAGTTCACCACATCAGCCAAATAAGCATAGGTCTTCTTTTTCCAGAAACCATCAGAAGAGTCTAAAAAAATCATGCTGTAGTTAAGTAGTCTGCTTTCATGCCTGTTAAAATAAGGAGTGCAAAAACTATTACTGTTGTTAAGGGGTGATGGTCTCTGAACTGGTAAGCTGAAATTTTCTTGTGATTTTAGTGCAGAAAAAACCATTTGTTTCTTTTAGTATACCTTTCTGGGGGAAAATTAATTCTTTTACCTGGTAGCACTAATGCATACTACTATCTTAAGACAACACTACCAACATGGTTTTACATTCATTTGCCTAGTATCAGTGGCGGTTGTTTTCACATGTGGACACCTGGCCATGGGAACCTAGGTTAACACTGCCTCATTAGCCTCCACACTGCCAGTTAAATAGACAGACAATAACAAACACTGCGGTTGACTGAGGATTTAAGAATGGGTGCTCATGGTACAGAATGGTGAAGATCAGTGTTCAGTTGATATTAACTATTACAAAGGAGATGAACTGTTAATGTGCTGTTATTCCAGATTTCTAGAAGGACCAATGTGGTGGCAGAATTGAGACGTCAATTAATGGCCACTGAGGAAGAAGATGATTTATCATATCCTCCTCTGAATATGACCACTGGAAATTATACATGCATCCTTTTTTATGCTAGTAATTTCAGCCTCAAAGCCAACAGTTCAGTTTTTGTAGATTTGACAAATGCAACATTTGTAACACAGAATGTGGATATTTCTGCCTCTGAGTGCTCAGACAGCAACACAACGTGAGTAAGCATAAGACATTTCATAATACATGTGATTCTGAAAACTAATCAGAAATAATGCAATGTCAAATTAGTGCTAGTTTAATTTTCTTCTTCTAAAGCATTCAAAATTAAAAAAAAATTTGGATATTCTTAAAAGAAAAAAATTAAATCGAGACCACAAAAATTGCTCAGATGCAGCCTACTATTTTCAAATTTTTTCCCTCTTATGCTCCTTACTTCCTTGTTTGTTTATATTTGGTCCAAACAGGTTTCCCTGTGCCTGATCTCACAATCACAGAAGTTTACTTGCATAAATGAAATCATAAGTTCATTCCCTTGAAGGAAAGTATTGCCAGTTACTAGTTAGTAATTCAGCTGGAAGTACATTAATGAAACATAATCTCAGTTTTCCTTTACTTTGAAAATTTGGGTAAACGAAACCCTAGAAATATTTAGTCATATTTTTCTGTGTACTGAACCTTTGCTATATGACTTTTGTAATTGCCTACTGATTTAGAATATTCCCTCCAATTGAAATGTCACAATGATCTAATTAAAGTTGACTACTCTAACATTAAAAATCTGTTTCTTTTTCTTAGACTGTCATTAAAATACACAAAGCCAGTGAATGGAATCAGCAGCCTAGAGATAAGGTAACTTATGATTTTTTTTTTTAAATAGATCTTTGCAACACCTGTTTGTAAATTAGGAGCAAAAAAGAGGAGGAGTTAAATGAAAATGTTTTTGAATTTATTGTTTTCTCTTCTGAGGAGTTAAGGTGCAGGAGAACAATAATGCAGTCTTTATATAGAAAATATATTAATATGCTCAGACAAAGTTCTGAAAAAATATTGTAGGCAAAAATCCATACTGTATGTTACTGGTATATGCAGCATCCTGTTTTACTAATAGGATCAGTCCATGATCCTGTCTCAGATAAATCTAACTGTGATTTGTAAAATATTATAGAGAATATTCCATGTCTACTTGCATGGCCAGGGCTGTATTTAGTCCTAATGTGGATTGCCAGTACACTCTATTAGTGCTAGCTTGTGGTTAATGAAGGTGCAAAAAATCTTAATTTTTCTGCTCCATGGGTGATCACAAGACAATGTTTCTGCTACCATGAGAACAGGGAAGAAAAGCAAGGGAATGGGAAGACCTGTGAAGAAAAATCAAAGGGAGAACCATAGAATCATTTAGGTTGAAAAATACCTTTAGGATCATTGAGTCCAATGTTTAACCCAGAGCTGCCAAGTCCACGACTAAACCATGTCCCTAAGTGCCACATCTACATAGATTTTAAACATCTCCCGGGATGTTGACTCAGCCACTTCCCTGGGTAATCTGTTCCAAGGCTTGACAACCCTTTCACTGAAAAAATTTTTCCTAATATCCAACCTAAACCTCCCTGGTGCAATTTGAGGCCATTTCCTCTTGTCCTGGGGCTTACTTCGGAAAAGAAACTGACTCCCACCTCACTACAACCTCCTGTCAGGTAACTGTAGAGAGCGATAATGTCTCCCTTCAACCTCCTTTTCTCCAGGCTAAACAACTTGGCTCCCTCAGCCCCTCCTTAAAAGACTTGTGCTCCAGCCCCTTCACCAGCTTCTTTGCCCTTCTCTGGACTCACTCCAGCACCTCAGTGTCTTTCTTGTAGTGAGGGGCCCAAAACTGAACAGCGGATTTGAGATGTGCACTCATCAGTGCCGAGTACAGGAGGACAATCACTGCCCTGGTCCTGCTGGCCACACTATTTCTGATACAAGCCAGGATGCCTTTGGCCTGCTTGGCCACCTGGACATTCTGCTGACTCACGTTCAGCCAACTGTCAACCAGCACCCCCAAGTCCTTTTCTGCTGGGCAGCTTTCCAGGTGCTCTGTCCCCACCCTGTAGCTCTGCATGAGGTTGTTGTGACTCAAGTGCTGGACATGGCACTTGGCCTCACTGAACCTCATACTGATCCACTCATCCAGTGGATCCAATGGATCCGGCCTGTCCAGATCCCTCTGCAGAGCCTTCCTACCCTCCAGCAGATCAACACTCCCACCCAACCTAGTGTCATCTGCAATCTTACTAAGGGTGCCCTCAATCCCCTTGTCCAAGTAACTGATAAAGATATTAAGCAGAACTTGCCCCAACACGGAGCCCTGGGGAACACTAGCTGTGACTGCCTGCCAGCTGGATTTAACTTCATTCACTGCCACTCTGAGAATTCACAGATGTTGTTCTCACTAGTGGATTCTATGGATGAGGAAAGCATCTGCTAGTGTTTACATGCTGTCATTCAGCTGCTGGTAAAGAAATTCTTTCCTCAGCAGCAGGAACAGCAGTAAAGGATTATTTTCTTAAGCTCTGACAAAGATAATGTGGCCTGCTCTTTTCATTTTGGTACCTCAGTTAGTTGCTTAAAATTATTTGGGAAGGATTTGGTCAGGGAACTTGCACTGAATTAAATTTCTGTATATCAGATTATGAACTGGATGTTTGCTTGGGCAGCAAGACACATGACTTTTGCCATCTAAAATGCTTTTCACATTTTGAATAAGGGAAATTGAACTCCAAGGAAACCAAAGAGAGGAAAATAAAGTAATAATGAGGGAGACAACAAAACCTTGAACAATGTATTGGTAAAAGAGCCAAAGAGGCACATGACAGTAAAATTATAAGATTGAATGAATAAATACCATTATTTACACTGAGACAGAAGGGCATTGTACATTTAGGTAAAAGAATCTCCAGAACTTGTGTTGAGGGGAGTCAGTGATGTGTTTCAAGTTGTATTTGGAGTGCATAGAGACACTTATAGTCATTATCGGAGACCATGGCAGACATGCATTGTTATTTAACATCTCTCCTTCAAGCATCTGCAGCCTTGTGAAAGAACATAGTGTACAGATAAGACTGCTGTTAGTATAGTATTTTTACTTTTTGACTGTTGTAGTTAGCTGTGTATAGGATCCTTGAGAACTGTCCTTGGTGATGGTGTCAAGCATGCCTTGGTTTCAATACTGTAAATTATCAAAGGGACATGTATTTCCGTAAACACCCCAGGGAATTAAGTAAATATTTTCCTTGGATCTCATTCCAAAAATACTGTTCTAAAACCAAGTCTCTGTACAAGTTGTATTTTTTCCTTTTACTGTAAGTCTCAAAATATCACCCTCTCTGATGCTGCCCTGGTGCATTTCTGTCTATTCGTTGCTGTTCCTGTCCCACTCTCATAGAGCCAGACCCTCCAAAACAGTGCTCTGTATTTTCATTCTGCATCTTTGCTCATTCTAGTACAGATCTTAGCTGCTCTACTGAAATCTCTTTCTGTATGAATGAATCTGGTTGTTTTCTACATTTGTCCTGAATGTAACATCCTCAGCATAATATCATGGCTTTCTAGTAAAATTACAGTTCCAAGAAAATAATATGAATCATAAAGCATCCTATGGAGCATGACCCTGTGCTTCAAAACTAGTTAACTGCTAGATCTTAAAGGTGTTGTCTTCTTTAAAGTAGTCAATAGTACTACAGATCAGAATCTTTTGGCAGTCAAAACATTTATCTTAGATTTTGTTTTCTGAAGCAGGTGTAAAAAGATCAAATGTGATGTTAGTGCACATATATAGACTTAATGAGGGTTATTCAGATTTATGTTTAGTCATCATTATAAAAACTTGCAATTTTAATTAATTATTGGACAAAAACTTTAATGTGGTCATGAATCTGAGGTGTATCTGAAGAGAAGAAATTTAAAGCAATTCTGCAAACAGACCTACTGTAATTTAAATGAGAATATCAGTACAAAAGCTGAATGATTCACGTTTTCTCTCTTTTTGAGGAATGTTTTTTATATTCTTTGAGCCTGTTTTAGTAAAGGTGAAATACTCACAAAGTTTCTCTTGACCTTTGCTTCTACTTGAACATATTATATCTAAATACCGAAATGTAAAAACAGCCCTTGAAACTGGAATAAAAAATTCAGGCTCCACAATAGGTGAGGACTTGAAAAGAGAGCTCAGGTAAAGTACTGAGTGTTGTCATGCCCAGCAAGTAATATTAGCATAGGCTGGCTGTGTTTTGCAGAATATTTTGATTTATTCCATGCAGTCATGTGTGATCCAGGTTTTTATTGGGCCCTCAGGGGATTTAGACACAATTTTTTATGGGTGACCCAGGTGCTTAGCAATAAAAAATGGAATAGAGAAAGAATGTAGGGAGTAGCTTCTGGAGTAGTTTCCAGAGTAGCCATTGCTTGGACATTCATCGTGCATTGACCTGCATGTGATTGTTGCTTTATTGTTTTTTTCCCCCTCTTTCCTTAACTTATTGAGCTGTCCTTGTCTTTACCCACAAATTTCCTCAGTTTTGCTGTTTCTAATCTTCCCCCACCATCCAGTTGAGGATGAGGAGTAAGGGAAAAGCTGTATGAGTGCTTGACTACTGGCTGGTCTCAACCCGTAGCACCTCAGAAGCCTTTATAAATTAAAAATAGTACTAAAGACTCACCTGGTTATTTGTGCTGCTTTCTGTTGGATTTTCACTTGATTTATGAGACAATGGTGTCATTTTAGGCCTCTATTGGCTACCATAATACACTATTGTATGCTATATAATGCAAATTATAAGATATACTCAACAGAACCAAAGCAAGTCATTGATTTTTTTTTCATGATTCAGTAACACTTTATTCACCCTGTGTATCATGTTTAGCATGTCTCTTGTCAAGGGCTTCTAAAATCTACAGAGATACAGTACAACCTCTGCTTTCCCCTTCTGGTAAACTTTGATTACATTTGTTGTTCAAGATCATACCTTAGTAAGATTATGGTCTGCCTTAATAAACAGGACACAAGCAGGGCAAAGAGGTGGAAAGGAACAGAGCTTAGAGCCATAACTGCATTTTTTCGCCTTATAAAGGCCATTTTTTTGGGTGTAGGAGAGCATCCCTTGAAGACAGAAAGTGACTCCAGAGAGGATCTTGTTCAAGTAGCTCAATTTATTCTTCAATAAAAGAGGCTCTAACTTCATCAGCATGAGCCAGATCCAGAGCCTGCCCCCATTACCAACACCAGTCTACCCCCATGTACTGAGCAGCTGGTCACATCCTACTTCTTCTTAGCAGCTGCAATAGCTGCTTCATCCTGTGCAAGCAGCTGTCACCTCCCTCTCCCTGTCTTTAGCAAGAACTACAGTCCCACTCATCCTCCTGCACTTGCCACTGAGAGATGAGCTGTTAGGGAGTGGTTGTAGAGTGTCATGATAGTGTTAGAAAAGTAAACTATTGCTGCAGCAGGAATGGGAGCTGTAGGGTTTTTGCTGAAAGAAGCATCATCTCAGCTCTCTCATAAACTGATATCCAGCTGTTCAATCACTTATCTGTCATTTTCTCTGAGAAAAAATGTCGAAGTGGATGGAAGTGCAGAGCATTAGTATTTTCCACACTTACATTGATACATACTTGACTGTTATTTTTGTTCATAGCATGTAAAGAATAGAATTGATGCAAACCACACATTTTAAAGTCTTTTACTTAATAGTTGTGTTTCTTTCCGAATCTTTAAAACAGTAGTAATTCTAGCTATCTTCCTTTTCAGAAATATCTCTGCTTGTAATGATTAGCCATATGAGGTGTGATCAGTAACAGGTGGTGGCAGAGTTCATATAGTTATCTGGCACAAAGGGAGCCTGGCCCATGACCAGGAAATTTTGTGCCACCGTACATAAAGTACATGATGTCTCTAATATACATAATTGTCTCTAATGTTTAATGCAAACATAACATATAAAAGCCAAGGTATTTTCAGTTCTGAAGATAAAACCTTTGTTCTCTCTCCCTTTCTTGTCATTCATTTGCTGTAATGTGCTCTTTCTATTTGTTATCTGCTCATCTGAGGAAATATTAAACTAAATGAAACAAATCTATAGATTTTTATTCCTTGATTATCTTTTTTTTTTAATTTAATGAGTCATAGTTACATCAGTTATCGTTTAAGTGCATGCTTGTTGGAGGCTATTCACTACCAGTTGTTTGAAAAAATGCTGAAGATAAAAGCATGTATTAGTAAGTCAACCACATTCAACTAGTTTATGAAATAGAATGTTAATTCTCATAAATCTGCAACTTAACATAGCTTCTTAGTCTTTGATGCGATGTGAAGACAGTGTTCTCTTGGAGAATGCATGGCCTTATAAAACTTGTTTGTTCATATGATAAGTTTACAAGCAATTGTCTTGTTTACCACTTTTCTCATCCTCTCAGCAAAAGCACAGACCACATCCAACATCTGTGGTTAGCATAAACATATAACTGTGTTTATAACTGGCTTTCAGCTAGTGCCTGTAGCATTGCTACAGGGACACCATGGAGATTCTGTTCAGATTGTACTGTATATCAGAAAAAGATTCCTTTCTTCTAGCAATTAATATCAAGTCTAATACATGTTTTAATTTTGTAACTCTATAACAATAGAATTTTGTCCATAAATATTTGTGAATGTGTACTAGATGAATTTTTTTTTCTTTTTCACTGATGCTTGCAGCTGAATGTTGCCTGGATAGACCTGTTTAGACTTAAAAAGTAAGGAATGCCATAAGAAAGAACATCCTTTTCTCGGTTTAATGACACTTTGAGTTCTAGGATTCCTTCTGAGCATTTTGAAACTCTTGAGATTTTTGAAGTTACATGAATCAAAAGCCACAGATTATTAATAAAATAAAAGAAAAAAAAAAGAAAAAAAAAGAAAAAGAAAGGGTTCAATTACTGTAGTAACCCAACCTGACAAGATTTGTGTTTAGACTCTGTGTTTTGTGGATGATATGATACTTAAAGTAACTAATTTGAACAAACAAGTAACATTCTACAATGGAGAATATTCTTTCTATATATACATATACCCTATATATGCAGATACCCTATACAATATAAAATAGCCTACATCGTGCCCCATTTATAGATGAATGCTTGTTTTTTCAAACCTATCATTATTAGATCTAGGGTATTACCTGAAATTTAAAAGTCAACATACAGCGTTACCCATGGGGGATAGACATATTAGAATATTTCATTTAGTAACAGGTATCATTTATTGCTAAAAAGATTCCTTTTCTAAATCCTTTGTGCTTACCAATAGTCAAAACAAATCACTGGCAAACTGTATAGGGGAATACATGTGTAGACCAAGTAGGGATAAAGTATTAAGCAACATACAATAAGAAGAAAGGTTTATCATTTCCTTATGAGATAGCTTGAATGCCTAGAACTGGATAAAAAGTGGTAAAGATTGGGACATAGTCCTGATCTGTAAAGGATCAGGATGTACTTCTCGATGTTCTCAATTATTTCTGTTTCAGAACATTTGAGAGGTGTTCAGACAGTATTGGTAATAACACACATATAAATTCCATCATTATAAACTACTGGAAACTGCTGCAATACCACATATATGCAGATGTTTTCAAAATGAGGAATATTTATTTGTGCCTAACCTACCACAAATTGTGAAACTAGAGCTGACAAGAGCCTCCCCACCCTCCAGTGAGAGAAAACACTGTCTTCTATGTCAAACTCAGACCTTTGCAAAGGAAAATACCATTTAGCCATTTGAGCCAAGAAAGAATTGCAATGATAAAATAGAATGGCTATCATGCCTGTACCTATCATAAAAGCAATTTTCAAAAAAATCCCATAAAATATTTATTCAGAGCCACTGCAGGCTTTCTGACAGTCTCTCAGCTTCTCCTCTACTGATTATAAACTGTTGGTAACTTATGAAATACAGCACTGGCAGAGGCCCTTAAAAAATGAAATTGCATTTGCTCCTTGCTTGCCACACCTATGGAAAGCTGTGCTTGTGAGATGAAACTCTAAGATGCAGTAAATACATTCACAGAATCAATCCCAATGACATGATCAGCCATGTCATCATCAGCTGTGATGTTTGCAGCCAGCAATAGTGAACCTTTATCTGCCACTAGTACTTTATCAAATGGGTATTAACTTTTTCCTTCTAACCTTTTGACTTTTTTTTCTGTTATCTTTCTAGGTTTTTAATGACCAGCAAGTTCTATGAAGTTTCAGCTAGACAATGGTCCACTTTAGATTCAGTGGAGATCATACAAGATGGAGAAAAGTTTGCTAAATTTAATGTTTCTGTCATCTCTGCTCCTGCAGAGTATTCATTTCATTGTCAGCTGGTGGGAACAAGCAATCTCTATCCTGCAAGGCTGGTTCCAGCCAACAATGAGGCAAAAAATTGGGATGTTTTCATTTCCAGGTTGCAGGTGAGTATGCATTGCCATTTCAGAGATAACTCCAAGAACTATTACTTGCTATTGTAGACGGTGAATGACACACATTCATAATGCACTTACTTTCATTTCAGCCTGAGGGAAAATATAAAAAAAGAGCTGTTCCCCTATGTGAGCTTTTTAGTAAGGGTAAAAAAAGACACCAGCTGCTGAACAAGGAGAACATGAAAGCACAGCTCTGAAAAATGAAACTATGAAGTTGTCCACTGAACAGAAAAACCAACTAAACCAAATGTACTTAATCAGACAAAGAATGACTAAGTCCCTATGCCTGTTTAATGAATTGGGCTGCTCTTGGAAACAGGGGCCTCTTAGGTGGGTGGCTTTATGCTGCTTACTTTGTTTATATTTGATTTCTTGGCACTTCGTTTACCTAGGAAAGTACAGCTTAGTGTGGTTGCTCTTTCCGGTGACATAGACTGTCTGTACTCCTACAGATAGAAACAAAGCCCAGTGCAATTAGATTTAATGGAAGGTTTGCCATGGACTTCAATTAAGAGCAATACTAGATCCTGCATGGCCGAGAAGGAAAGCAAGTGGCTTTTTTTGAATGAGACATAGGTTTTCTGTGCATTTAGTACGGTAGTACAGACTACACATGTGAGATGTAGATGATTACATCTGTTTTATTTTGAACTTTGTTCTTGAATTAGGAGAAGCATATCAACATATATATCTTAATATTGCACTAAGGGATCTCTTTGGTGAAAGGGATAGGAATAATTTGAAACTGTAGTCTATTTGCCAAACATGAGCTAGACAAACATGTGATAACTAGATTCAAATACTGATATAATTGTATTTATGATTTTGATAACAAACCAAATCTCAGTAATCTGACTCCAGACTTGACATTCCTGCTTAAATAATGGAAATCTCAAAGGAACATCATTGGTGCTGAGATTTCCACAAATTCCAGTATCAAGTCTCACAATTTTTTGAGAAAAAATGTACCACTACACACAATTCTTATGAAGATTCCTTCTGATGTTATTTTTTATGGAAAGGCCTGAAAATACCGAAGTTCATGCAACTCTGCTTTGCCTAGTCAACTCTTTGGAGTTAGACTTTTGCATGACTGGGATATAAAAGTACATGAACAATGAAAATACAAGTGTTCTCTTACACTTATCTTTTCCTTGACTTTCTATATGCTTTGAAACTAATGCCTTCTTAAATCTTAGGGGCCTTACTCCATCCTTAGTAAGCATCCTTTCATTGTGGTCTTAATCAATACCAGAAGTAATAGGTTTCCCACCTTCCTTATTGATTTGAAGGAGCAACTGTTCAGACAACAGAACTCACAGTTCCTCTTGAGAAAGTCCTTTTTCTCTGACCAAATCCTAAGCATGGAACAAAATCTGAAAAGTCTTGTTCTAATTTTTATTGCTATGTGAGAAAACAGAAAGTCACAAATCTGGGCACATTGTCAAGTTCCATCTGAACTAGATTATACTTTCCTAGATATTTTCCCCTGATACGTAGTGAAATGTGATCTCAATATCAGAGTTTGTTCTGGAATGAGGTTTAGAAACCCCCAAACTCTGTTGCGTAGTGAAAAAAGCATGTGGGATGTGCTCAGTGGTTGCAGCCAGCACAAAATCCTGTTGCTGAAACTGTGGAACATGATTTTCATGTCAGTGTTATGCAATGAATTAGAAACTAGGATCCAATGCCAATCAAATTGGTACCCAGCACTTTGCAGTGCTGGGTCCTGAAAACAGTATCACAGTAATAGAGGGGCATGGCAGCTGCATGGAAGCCTTGCATAGCTTGTTCCAAGGCAAGGCTGAACTGATGCAGCCTTTCATTTAAGTTCTGGAGCTAGCTCATTCACTTCTATCTAAAGAACCTCTGTGGGATGCTGTCTAGGCATTCTCATAGCCTAGGATGTCACCACTCATAGCTGTTCACAGCACCAAAACTTCTCTGGGTTTGGTTTGGTTTTTGTTGGCTGTTCTACCACAGGCTTTTGAGGATTCTCAGAATTGTCAATGAAGTTAAAGAGGACTCTGCTACCAAAAGCATTGTTTTTCTGTACTATGTGTCACAGTAGTTTAGAAGCACCTGGTACCCAAGAAAAACTACTAAAAATTAAAAATCAAGAATATTAGGATTGTTTGTGGCTAAAATATTTCTAAGTTCAAAAATTAGATATTCAGTGTACACTTAAGAGCCATGAAAACAACATATTTTACTTGAAGGCTTTTTCAAGGGTCAAATGATGAAAAAACTCCATTCGAAAATATTTTTAAAATTAACAGTAAATAAAGACTTGTATAACCAAGGCAGACCAAATAATGCTAGACCAAACACTAAATTTGAAACTTCTGCAGTACAGGGGCCTGTATCCAAAAGACTTTTACATTCATAAAATTTAGAGAACCACATGTAAGTATTTTTAGCTTTTCTATAGGTAGAAATGCTGCTCGGAGTCACATTTTTACCTCCCACCTGTGATCTAGCACCCCAACAGAAATGATGAAGCTCCAGAAAAACAATAAAATAACCCTGCATTTTCTTAATCTCCTGTTTAAAGTAGACATAGCTTTTTAAGAATGTACAATTTAATCTTTCACCTCAAAGGTTCAATAAGCACAATCCAGACTTAAAAAAAAAAAAAAAAAAAGAAAAAACCAATAGGATTGAAATAATAAAATTAAGTGTTTCTGACTAAATCTGAAGTGGCAAAGCCTTTCTTAACCAAGTATACCTGGTAAGAGATTCAGAGATTCCTTGTCAGTGTGATAAGAAGTGCGTATTGTTTTCCAGAATTTCAATCCATTTTTTGAACACAAATGACATAAATCATCACCTGCTTTCTGTTTTTATTGTAAATAAGTCTTTCAGGTTACATTTCATGACTGCTATTCACATTCTCATTTGTGTTCGAAGCAGTGGCTTAACAAGTGTGACAAATAGAAACCCAATCGGGCAATTTCCAATCAGAATTTATTATATGATAAAAGCAAATTCAGCGCTGGGTGATCAGGGAGGGGTCCAACAACTCCCAACACCTGTCACACCCAAAGAAGACAGTTGTTCCACATTTATTTCCAGCTACTACATGAATATTCATTATACATAAGTATAAACATTACACATTGTTAGGCACATGAGTATAAACATGTTAGATACATAAGTATAAACATTACACATTGTTAGGTCATACATTCAACAGATGTTTGCTTGTTATCTATGCAAAGTTATAAATTTTAAGAAAGGTGCTATTATCTAGCTAACTAAACAAAATTCTCTCACTATAAATCCTACACAGGGTAAAAGGGAGGTAACTTGTCTTTTTTCTTTTCATAGGGGCCCAATTAAGTTTTACAATTTGTTTTTCTTTTCTCTCTCCAGGTCATATTGACCTTACACTGTTTTCTCTTAATTAGCTCGAATCATTCTCTCAGTTTATCACACAAGCAAAGGCTTTTGCCATCACCTGCATTTCCTAAAGCAGTGCAAGCAGTTATCCAGCCCAAAAGCTTGTTTTCACTAATCCTGCTTTAATCAGAAGTCTGACTACCTTTGGTGAAAGCAGACAGTCTTTGCAAGTAAGTTACTATGATCTGACTTGGGAAGATGCTTCTAAAAGGCCTAGAAAAGGTTGAATTCTAAAATTTCCTTCACCTCCACATTACCTAAGGAGCCCTTAGTTCTGTGTTTAGTAATGGTTTTATTAATCAGCACTCTGGAAGGTACAGACATTGGTTGTAGCAGACATATTTATGTACACATTAACTTTAGGCACCTGAGCCATGAGTGAACTCAAACCCAGAGTGCTCACTGGTGTAGTGTGGTATGCAAGCCACAAGTTGATTTGTTCAATGTTTGTACCAACAGCTTTCCTAAGAAGTAGAAGCTCTTATATTACCACACATAAACTAAAGCTTTCCATTTAGTTTGTTGTGAATCATAGAATAATCATGGAGTGGGAACACATAAAAGTAGAAATCCATGATCTTCTGCTTTCTTGCGTACTGTATGAGAGAAGTGATTTAAATGTTAATTTTATTCTATAATATTTTATAGGAAACAGTAATTTTTAAGGGGGTTTTTTAGGTGTGGTTTTTTTTGCTTTTTAACAGTGGGTTTATGATGTGTGGTGCTTTCCTTACACACCCATTTCAAAGATTCTGTATATGCATAAGAATCCCAGTCTTCAGTTTTCTTTATAAAATTATTTAAGAAAGACTCAAAACCAGATCAGATTAATTCTTTCCTTCCTCTTCTTCAACCAGTTAGATTCCCTTCCCTCTGAAGGAATCAATGTTTATGTCGTTATGTACATGCATGTTGAGGGGGGATTGTCTTGCCTTTCTTCATAGTTTTCTAATCCTTTGGTTTGAACAAAATGTCTAAAGTTAGTGATATCAAAGGCATTCAGTTTGTTGATACTTTTTGTACAGTTGGGTGCTATATGTCTCTAAATTAGTTGATTTTTCTGAAGAAAACAGTATGGTAGGAGCTCAGTCAGTGGCAGACACTGAGAATTCAGTGAAAGCAGAGAGTTAACAGATTTTTCTAACTGCTGGAAAAGCTTATATAGATTTCATATTAATAGACAACACATATCCCATACCTCAATAAAGCAAGTCCTCCCTCCCATTTTGAGTCTGTGATGTCAAAGAAGGGAGGAAGAAAGGTTTCACAACTGTTTTCTCCTTCAACTTTCACTAAAACTCAACCATAAAAGGTCATCTTCATTAGGTGTGTTTTAAAGTAGATTCCAGGAGTTTTGTTGGTGAAGGAGCTATTAATTAAATCTCTCAGGGTATTTCAACAAATCTCATGATCTGAGGAGGCCTTAACTCTATGAGTTTGAGTGCTTTGAGTTTCCTGGTTCTGAAGTGGTCATTGAGCTGATGATCAACAAATACTGATATACTGATCACATGGATACAGAATACTGATTTGACTACAATGAATGCAGAATACTGATCACATTTCCCCTTTGGGACTTTACTTCTAAAAGTAATACAAGTTTCTGAAGCGGGAAACCTGTTTCTTGCCAAAGAGATGGATTCTGCATCTTTAATTTCCTGGGTGAAAAGGAGACCTGGAAAACTGTTACGCAGAGGATTTTGTTTGCACTCTTTTTAGTGGGCAGGGTATGACTGGTAATTAAAAGGTGTGGGTTTTTGTAATTACCACATACTTCCTGAAAGTAGGGACGACGCTTGAAGCTTAATTGCACTCATTAATCTAGCTTCTTTCATTTTCAGATTCAAGGCTTCAACATTGAAAACAACCAGTTTTCCTATGCAAGTGACTGTACAGGTTTCTTCACTCCTGGAATCTGGATGGGCCTGGTAACATCTCTAATTTTACTGTGGATCCTGACTTATGGAATCCATATGATCATGCAGCTCACAACAAACAGCAGATTCGATGATCCCAAAGGTCCGGCTCTGTCAGTTCCTCAGACAGAATAACCATGGACTGACTCAATGGTGCTGTGGCTTTTCCTAGTCTGATATTTATGATTTTTTATAACCTTTCTACTTCATAATATGCGTAACCTAAAAAGATATCATAGCAGAAAGAGATAATTAAACTACATATAAAAATTATCCCTATGCTTGGAAACAATAATAAATCTTCTTTTTATTGCCATCATTTGTTAACAACTATCTGTGTTAAGGTTCTGAAGTGAGGTTGTAGAGGTTGTTACTCTCTCTGGTTATTAGAAAGACGATTAAAAATTGCCTTCAGATTAACTATTATTGGCAAAGAAAGGATATCATTACAGAAATAATTGTGAAGGATAAATAACTTATTTGATGGGAAACTATATATTGAAAACACTGATGTCTCTACAGTCTCTTCAGTGAGTATGTCATGATGATGCTACATCTTAAAAAGGCTGAACTGTGTCTTGTAATTTTTTCTCTTGAGTAAATCATCCAGAAATGTACAGAACTAATAAAGCTAGTAAGTCATTAACTAAATGGTCTTGAGAATCTTTTAAAAATACATCACTTTGTTCAGATGTGGTATCACAAAGAAGAATGGGCAGATGAAGGCCTAGCTTCCCTCTAATGTTTTCTTATGCTTGTGAGAGTTATGTGGAGTAATTACTGACTCCTTTGTTTTAACCATGGACATCTTGTCCAAACTGATCACAAAATTAAACTTGGTGTTATGGCAATGAATGCAACTTTTCAAGTTCAGAACCTACTACGATTCAATGTGCCAGTGCAGACAGCATCTTAACAGAGTTAAGGTAATGTTCGTAGCACCTCGCCTTTTCCAGGTATCTTTGGAGTAAAGTTCATACAAAGAAAGAAAATAATATTATATAACATTACTAGAAGTACTGTGCTAATGTACTATTTAAGTCTGAGAATGTTATGGTCATCTCAGTGATTCCAGAAACCCAAAAACTTTCACAGTATGCTGTATTATTCTGCAATTAATAAAGACACTGGATCTTCTCACTGGACAATCTGACTGTGGAGTGAATTACTAAATACTATAAAGAACTAGGAAATAGTAAAAGAGCAATGGTAAAATTGTAAAAAATGGTAATAACAACATCATTATTCTTCCTTCTGGAACATTTTGTTATGACTGTGTATGTTCAATTAGTAGATAAAAACCCAAAAAATATCATTTTGACAAAATTACCTTTGTCACATGAGAAAAATTCTAACTTTTCTGATCTTGATCCATGTCATAGTAGAATGATACACTGGAAAGACATTTAGAATCAACTATTTAATTAGACAGACCACAGTTTCTATCCATTGTTTCTGGATGTCACATTTTTATTATGCAGTCCAAAAGGTAAATTAAATGCTGTCTGAAGCTATTCCTCCTGAATTGTTCAGTCCTGACCTGGAAAACAAAAGGAAAGCTATCATGTAACTACCAGAGGTGTCTCCTCTGCTGTAATATTTTTCTCAAATGTTTTTCAGAAACTCAGTAATGCATTTGATCTACACAAAACCTCTGTGTTAGAAAGGCATGTTTTCTTTGCAAAAATTAGTTGCCAGGAGACCACTGGACTTGTTTTATTAATTCTCCTTTCAAAGCAAGTTGCATGAATAAGACAACTGAAAATTGGCATAATAGTCATGCAACTGATGGCTAGAAGAGAGAATGGCTATTACAAAGGATGTGGTTTGTGGAAGACAGCTTTCTTATGATCTTTATCTAGCTTCGAAAAAATTTGGAACAAAATTAGATTTTGTTCAACAACGGTGATATATAAGAACTGAAGAAAAGCTTTACAAGGCCATCCAGCTCAGGATACTATCTCCAGCCAGGGTATAAGTATGGTGAGCATCTAGTAGTACTTCCTGCAGATGTTTTCCCATTCTCAGGTACTCAGGTTCTCCCAAGCTCAGGTACTTCCTCAGCCAGAAGCTGCCTTTGTGTATAATAACTCTGGGAAAAGTTATAGCCCATGAATTTGTTCAGCTTTCTCTTGAACCTGGTGGATGCTAGGAGAGTGCACAGTGTCCTGACTGTAGTATGGCACTGGAAATATTTATATCCTCTCTTACTTGCCTGGGATGGACTCTGGAGAAGAGGAGAAGAAAACAGTTTCATATACCCTGTACCATGGGGAAAACATAAGCATGTTCCAGAAGAGCTGTTTGCTGTGTTTGATGTTACACATGCCAGGATGAAGGGGAAGGCATTTTTAATGGAGAAAAGCTTTTTCTTTCTATCTTCTCTGACAAAAATGATACCATGAATGCTTTGGCAAGTAGGGTCTGTGGAGGCATATAGCCTGTTTCCGTAGTGAGTTGGGATATCCTTGTTACAGAAAGATCAAACCACATTTTGTAGCCCTTCATGTGGTAGGGTTATCTTTGTGACATCTGTGCTGGGAAAGTGTGAAAAAGAAAGGAACTGTCTACAGCTCTAGCTATCCTTGGGGCCATGTGGACAGGACTTTGGACACAATGACCAGTCCATCTTAGAAGAGGATCAACTGCTCTCTGTCCACATGGGGGGAGTTGACCTTGGCTTGCTGTCAGACACATCTCACACCTCTGGCCTCTTCTCACAGAGGCCACCCCTGCTGCCAAAACCTGGACACAGACACCAATACAGCACCTCAGAGGGCCATGTGTGCTGCTGGAGTCCCCATGACCGTTCAGACCCCTGTAGCAGTATATCACACTGCCCTGTGGCTGAAGACAGAAAACTGATCATTTATTTTAGCAGTGTTGGATCTCTTCTTCTAAAATAGGACTGGGTCTCAGGAAATTCTAGGAGGATTTGACCCCTGTCTTTCTTTGTTTCTCTTTCTGAATGAAGTGAAAAAACTGTCAGGGGCTTTCCAGCTCTGCGTACTTCTGATTCCACAATTCAGCTCAATCATAGGTGTACTTGTTAAAACATGCCTGATCTGGGAGCTGTTCCAGACAGAATATGAGCTCTGTCTGGAAAGCGTGAGCCTTTGGAACTTTTAATCAGAGCTCATTGAATTTATTAGAAGTATTGACCTCTGTGAGTGCTAGCTTATTTCTATTCCAATTAAAAAAAAAAATAAAAAAAAATGGAGGAGATTATGGGTAAAGCATGAGTTAGAAAAGAAGAAGCTTTTTTTTTTTCAAATATATAAATAAATGAAATTTTATTAAGAAAATATCAGAAAATATCAAAAAACTATGACATAACTTGAAAAAATAGATGTAACTTTGAAGAATCAAGATCAAAACCAGAGAAATCCCAAATCTAAACGCAAAAATACTGAAGGTATAGGTTAAGGTATTTCATCACAAAATTCAGGAATAATCATTTGTTGGAAGGGGTAGCTGGGATGAAGCTAGAATCTGAACATCCTGTTCTGATGCAGGTTTGCTCTGTGTCCTGATCTGTTGGTTTCTCTGCCTGTAAAATTACTTATTTCACAAATCATCTAGAATCCCTGAAATTACTTAAAGAGAGTTTTAATAGAAATAGTCCAAAAATAGTATTTTTATGTAGGCAGTAAAGGAAGAAGGTAAGTCATTCCATCTGCAAGGGAAAACTCAATGAAGTAATTGGCTCCTCCTTTCCTTCTGTGTGACTAATAATTAAATAATATGCAAATCTAAATCAGCTGAATTATTAGGTGATGCCCAAGCATTAGAGGATTCTGTAATTATTTAGTATAAACTGAGGTCAAGCAGGAGAAACTAGATGCTGAAAATAAAGTGACCATGAAAAGCTAACTCCTAAGATAATCATAGATAAAAGAAGCCTGAGTGTTGGATAATGGTCAGTGCTGGAAAAAAATTGAAAACAGCCCAGCAGTAGTCTCAGTACATGGTGATGACTGTGGGGTCAAGTATAGTGACAATTTTACCCTTACACTGCACAAGAGGATGAGACAGCCCACACAGGAGGGCCAGGGATTCCTTTCTCTGAAGGCTGTTTTTATCTCTTGCATCCTGTGGAGGGTTGACTTTTGTTGGCTGTCAGATGCCCATTTGGCTACTGTCTCACTCCTCTTCTTCAACAGGGGATGAAAATAAGATGCAGAATCTTGTGGGTCAAGATTAAGACAGGGACACCACTTACCAGTTACCATTGTGGGCAAAACAGACTTACAGAATTAAATTAAAATAGGTTGAATGGTGAGGAAAAAAAAAATTAAAACAATGTCTTCAGTCTGCACAAATGCCATAAAACCCTGTAGTGTCTAACATCTTCAGTGAAGAAACCTGATCTTCAGTTTGCTAATAAAGGTTCTACTCTCGGATTAGTCCATTCCCTATCAAACCTAATGCAAGATCAAAGAGAAAAGAACAATGTCTTCAGGACTCAGATTTCAGCCTTAAAAATTGTTGAGGAGAGGGGAGGAAAGAAAAAAGGCAACAAGATCTTGCCAAGGGGTGGTTCCCTAAGCAAGTAGCCTCTCATTGCCACAATGTGGGTGTCTTTCTTAATCTTCCTACATGTGTAGGTGGAAAGGAGATTTACAACAGTGACTGAACCCAAGAGCAGATAGGCTGCTATTGATGTCCCACAAATGAAGTGGCTTCCTTCTCTTCACCACAACTATTTGTGTACTATTTGTGTACCTCTAGTGTGAACACACTTTCCCTGCTCCAGATTATCTGGACTTCTGTGTAACTCCTGGAGCTGGTATGTTCTTGAATTATTATAGTAGAGCTTAGTTTTAGACTGTTTTATGTGTTATTCATTGTTGCCATAATGGAAGATAGTTTACTGAATGATTGTATATTTTCTGCTTTGCAAATATCAATGTGGATGTCCAGTGGAAGACCGGGAAACCCATTTTAATCTGTCTTAATACTTCTTTAACTAGCTGTGTAGAAGCAACATAAAATGAATGGTGTACAGTCTCCATGACATCATATGCAACTATCTTTAGTTAATGAAAACTGTACAAAAGCAATATTTGCAACATAAAAAACCCTCCCAACAGATGCTCTCATGAAAGTCATTTAGGAAGATGGATAAGTTAAGGACTTTCTGATAGAATGCTTGAATTATAATTTTGTATATCATATTTATTCTGGATAAATATGGATATATATAGATAGCAGAGTGATCACTTTAGCTATTTAACTGACATCTTTCACTGTACTGGCTTGATTTAAGATACTACCGTCCCTATCTACCCTGCCTTTCATTCATGTATACCTGTGCTTCAGCTGTTGTTAAATCCACACTGCTGTGCTCCGTTTTCCCACCAAAGATATAATATTTTGCACTAGAGTAGCTGAGCTACAGATGTTTGTCTAGGTCTGTCATTCCTGCTGCTGAGTAATAAAATCCTGGCAGAGGAGCAAAGCAGATAGCTACAACCACTGATATCTTAAAATATTATAGCAATATTGGGGAAGGATTTTTATTATAGCTGTCAAAGCAGGAAACCAAAGCATGCAAATAGCCAAGTGCCTTGTCAGGATCAAAGACCACATTACTGACAACCTGAGAGGCAGGACCATCTCCATTTTAGGGAACGTGTTTTCTATCTGTGTGTGCATCAACACATTTCAGATAATAACCTGTGCCAGGACAAGTTCAGGAGTGTTCTATTTCATATCCTCCTACAAAGACCCCTAGACTGTCCATGGCAGAAGATAGACAGAGAGCATCAAGATCCATCTCTGGCCACCTTTTTTTTGTTCTGTATCTTTCAGACTGCTATTGATCAGGGATGTCCTAGGCCCTCAACAGTCTCGACCCATCTCTTTAAAGGAAAAGAGGAAAAATGTGGAAGAGGAAAGGCAATACAGATCATCCTCTTTTCCCCAATAGTGAGGGTCTTTGCACCTCTAAGTGTTTGCCAGAGCCCTTGCCTGGAAAAGCAAGGCTGGCAACAAAGGGCCCTGCCATTTCCAGTGGAGGTGCACACCTGTGATGCTGGGCTGTCTTGGAAAGTTGCCCAAGTCTTCAGCTTTCTCTCCCAGAATGACACTTCGGGGCTGTCTGCAAACTAAGGCAGGAGTCACTGCTTTGGCTGCCC